TGAATAAAATGTGGGATTAGCTTCTTAGGCTCGCAAATGAACAAAACCTTGGCTTATTTATCTTTCCTGAGTTAATCCAATTAGTTCTACTCTAATTTTTCATCTAGATTTTCCATATAATATATTTAAAATATTAAAATCAATAAAAACATCTTATTTTTCCCTGAATGGAGGCATACTATCGTTCGAATTTTATTGGCAATTAGGCTAGCGTTGGCGAATTGCTTTATTTAATCTCACTTTTCAACTACTTTGAAATAATCCAGACCATATGATATTCATTATTTCAGAAGATGATAACGCCAGCACTATATAGTCATAAGCTTAGCTCCTTTGACGTAGCAAACAGCCTTTCTGGTCAGGTTCTTGCCTTTTTGGCAGAACGTAAGCGGTTCTTTCGGAGCAACTTTTTAGTTGAGTAACCTGATGACACCCGACCTCTTTAAAAAAATAAATAAAAATAGGCGATTCATAAAAATAAAAATTGATATGAGAGATTTATCAAGCGTCTGGAGCCTGATAGAATTGGCGGCGCCACTTTTCCCTTCACAACGTGCTTCCCCCATGACTAGTCTGATCCCGCCGCCTATTTTCAGCGAATATGATTTCGACTCATCTGATGAGGAGGTAGTAGCATTTTTTTGCTTCTACTTTGTCTTTATTAGGATGTCCGAAATACTGTGGGAAATATTCCTCTACAGTGGTATGACAAACTCGCACACCTAGGATACGATGTAACCGGGAGACCCTTAATGAAGCCAGGGGCTTTCACAGATCCTAAAGATTCAATTGATAAATTCATTGACTTTACTGGTGATCCTGACTCTCTATGGAGAACAATAAGCGACCCTCTCACTGGACAAACTGTTGTACTCACTGATACTGATATTGAGATTGCTACAAAGTTGGCATCTGGGAAAGGAATTACCGGGGATACCGAGACTCCTTTCGAGGTTTATGATATTTTTTGACATTTTTAGGAATGGAATGAGTGGTTTTCTAGTGATACTATGCTGACGCCTATTAGCGCCAGACCACCTGTCAAAAGGAATTTTTTACCTTCTGTTCTTGACAAACGAAAGGTAAATTTAATATAAAAAATTCTCATTAAAGTTTTTTCCCTATCTTCATTTACTTATATTTCTCCAACAGAAAGTTGTACAGATTGTGTATTCATGCATTCATACAACTGTTTGTAACGCTTCCTCTAGGATGTGGCTTGTCCTAAAGGAAATCTTTACTTCACTGTCTGGAATAAAATTTTACTTTGTGTATTTTATACTAAGGTTAATTTTCGTACATGATGATATCGGTATTACTTTTTTCTCGCCTAGGAATGATAATTTTAAGGCCTTGTGTGAATTCGTTTTAATTTTCAGATTATTTATGCCCATCTGGCTTTTCGCCACTCTTAAGCTTTTTTACATTTATTGCCATAGAATGATAAGGTTAAACTCAATCTAGTTTTATTTCCATACATTATCGCCCATTTGGTCTAGTAGTTTTGACTAAATCTCATACTATGCTTATGCTGAATGTCAAACGAAATCGCAATGCCAGTGTTCATATAAATCAGCCTTCACTTATCTAGTTGTGGCATCTAGAGCCTTTGATCAGTTCAACAATTTTTATTTAATAATTTGGACTTGCTTAGGTAATATCCTGGGCCCGCCAAATTTTGCATTTTGTCACCCAATCTTCTAGTAATTTTAACGGCTGTTTGCTCATTCTTCAGTGTCATTATTTCAGGTTTTTCATTAATTCCTTAGTTGTTAAATTGCGAATAACTCAATTCTTACTAATATAAACATTTTTATTTGGTATCCAATACGTGCTCAATTATCTTCCCTTCATCTGTTATCTCCATGCTTTTATATTATTAGTCGACATACAGTCTTCAACCTGATCTTTATGTTTTTTAGGTTGGTCGCATGGTTCATGCTATCAAAATGGGTTGGATGACTCCTCGTCTTCCGTCGTGGGCCATCTCCGATCCCAATGACTTAGGTGCCTTACGCCGTTATGCGGCCTGCACTGCCTCAGGTGGCACGGCTGTTATTGATTCAGATGATGATGATTCTTCATTTTTCCTGGGTTTTCCTTCTTCATTACTCTCAACTCACATTTTTTCTGATGTTTGGGAATCTCAGCATTCTAAAGATCACAATTTACCTATTGCTTCGACGGCCGAAAGCGAGTGGCGTCGTCGACTGCCCCTTGCTCTTCAGAATTACCGACCTCCCAGACCTAGTCCTTACCAACGTGCAGCTGAAGAGCCATTGCCGGGTCATGGCGCCTCCTATAATCCTGCCCCTGAGTTCCTCCTTTCGAAAGATGAGGTTATATATATATATATATATTACCTTATTGTAATGTATTACCTAAAGTTTTTATCTTGTTGGCCAAGCACCCTATCTTCCCATCTGTTATGAAGGAACGGATGATTTATTTCCAAAAGGTTTGATGCTGTCGCATCTTGTACTTTCGATAAGTTTGGCATGAGATTTGAGTTACTCATGATAATTAGGATTTTTCCATTCCACTTTACAGAAGCTTTCTTTATAAAATTTCAGAATATTTAACAAGTACATTAAATTTAAATGTATTATCTCTAAGGCTAAACCAATTCGTTATTTTCACGAAAAGAATAGACGCCGAAATCTGTCCTAATTATATGCAATTTCTTGATGTTATTATAAACCCATCTCGAAAGGTGGTTGTAGTACAATGTAATACCACTTTGATCAACTGGAAACTTTTGTCTTTGCAGATTAGCTGCCACGCTGTCTCCGTCTTATTTGTTTTGTTATTTTACCTAAAAGTCTTAAAGCAATTATTGCTCTTCTCTTCTTGACGGGAATCTTGTGGGTGTTGTAATGTACATCTTGTGCTTTGGTTTGTTCAAACACCTCTAATCTTATTATTCCTGATAATTATC